CAAACTATACCTTCAGCCCCTGCATTTGTACATCGACTAACCGCCGCCCCCCTCCACGCACCCCCACAAATACACCTCTCCGCAGCCACATAATGCAGCCCCTCCTCCCCCCTCCCCCTCTACCACGTAATCCAGCGGCCAGCTAGTTCATGCACAGGGAACATCCCTACAAAGTTTCAGCCCCTCAGCTCATGTGGTCCCCGAGGTCGTGTCCCCGCCAAAAAATTTGCATATTTTTTTAAAGCGTCCGTACGCGCAACCTAGGCGCCCCGGGGGTACACTGGGCAGCGCTACCCAGCGAGTCTGACAAAGTTCCAGCCAGCGTCGCCGCAAAATAGTGCAGACAGAGATGATAGAGAGAAGCGCTGGAAGGCTAAGCCAGCATAGATTCTCAGCAGAGCCGAGTTTTTGCAATTGCTAATTCCGAGCCACGCGTTTTGCATCTGAACTGAGCTTCAGCAGTTCCTCGTTATAGTTGAGATGTTGCAGTGCCGGGGAGATGAGTTGCTTGGCAGTGGTGGTCGATTGCGATGCGTGTCACTGGGGCGAGCTGGTCGAGAAGGAGCATGACGAGGGAGTGGTGGGCACACTCATCGATGCGGTCGTCTCGTACGCCACGGCGCATCTCTCGCTAGCCGCATCGAATCGGGTGGCAATCGTCGGTGTGGACAGTGCGCTTGAAAAACCAACCATTTTTGCAACACATACATCAACAAATGTTTGTTTACGCCACTGTTCGTTTGCTAACTTCAATTACCACAAATTTCACTAACTTCAATTAACACAATCGTCCAGCTGTGGTAATGGCAAGACTTAATGGTCCGAAACATTTGTTACTTTATTCTAATAATCTCACAAATCTTCTAATTTTCATTTCTTACCTTCTTTTTGTGCATTTTGTGCTGTGAAACAGCAGTACAAAAGCATATTGTCACGGGGTTTTCTGTGTGTGTGTTTGTGTGTGTGTGTGTCCTCAGCAACTTGTCCGCAACTTTCAACTCGGGAACCACAAAAGCTGGGAAGCTGAAAATTTCGGGGAATGTCCCCTACCCATGCGCGGCCCCGCAAATTTAAATTCAGCTTCCCCGTACCCACGGGTAACACGTGCGGTCCCGTGAAAGTTTTTTACGAGCAAACTAATATCTCAGGAATCACGGAGTCTAGCAGGCTGAAAGTTTAGGGTAATGACCCCCTGCCCACACTCAACCTTGCCCATTCAAATTCAGCGTCCCTGCGCTCTCGGGTATCATCTGCGGGCCAGTGAAAGTTTTTACGGGTAAATTAATATCTCGGGAACTGCAGAAAGATATTCACCCTTCATGGTTTCGAATTCAGCTTTCATGCGCTGTTGCGTGAAATTTTCAACTGCTTTCCAGTGTTTGAGCTATTTTTGCATAGACTAAAGTACAAAGCAGTGAAAATCATTAAGAGGCAATCGTTCGATGGGCTG